CCTCATTGCCATGCTGATCTCATCTTCCTCGCTCTCCCCTGCCTTCCATCACCACATCCTAGAACATGCTAAGTATGCCCCTGGGTTAGACCTTCTCACATGCTGTTTTTTCTTCCTGGAATAGTCTTCTCTCAGTTATTTCCATGACTACCTCCCTCACTTCCTCTAATCTTTCTCAGTGGGCTTTCCCTGGTTTCTTATTTTAATTTCAACACCCAACCACCCACCTCTGGCATTTCCCAATTCCCTTCGTCTTCTTTCTTCTTCTCCATACACATCTCCCTCTAACCCTAATAAGAGACATTATTGTATGTTTCTTGCCACTAGACTGCAAACTCCATGTGAACAAACCTGTTTACTCCCTGCTGAATTCCCCATTGCCTCAGAGTCGTGCCTCATCCCTGGGAGACTCTTAGTACCTATTTGTGGAATGAATGAGTTCCAACAGGAGGTTATCTCCACCCCCTTATCTATCTCTTTTTATGGAGCTCTTGTCTTAATTTCTGTATATGTTTTATCCATGGAGCTAATAGGATATAGTGGTAAAAGCTGAGGACAACCAAATAGCAGTCCCAGCTCAAGGTTTGGTTTTCTTGTTTACAGACTGTATGACTTGCCACAAGTCACTGAGCCTCTCTGAGTTTTCATTTCTTTGCTATGAAATGGAGAAAGCCTGCCTTACCTACCACAGTGTTGCTGTGAAGATTCGATAGAGTAATGTGTGAAGGACCATTAAGGATGAGATACTGTTTTCATTGATCACAACATCTGACCCTGACCAGATACCAGAGCTTTACATATATGACCATTTAATTCTCACATCAAATCCATGAGATATGAACCTATGTTATGGAACTAATTTTATAGATGGAAAAAACTGAGGATGTGTCAAAAAGTTCAGTGAATTATCTGACAGCTGGTAAACAGTAGAGCCAGACTTTGAACCTGAGCATTTTTATTTTCTTTTTTAAGTTTTTTTTTCTCCACAAGTCTGACAGACAGAAAATGATAGAGAAAGAGGGAAAGACAAGCACTTTCCCTAGGTCTTACATCAATAAACCCACTTCCTCAGCCTTCCCAGCCAACCAGGATCATGGATGCCCTTGCCTGGAGTATATAGGAACCGAACCTGTGATCTTCCGCATGAATCCAGCCTCACTTGAGCAGCACCACTGAACTGGCCTGGCCCACCGAGGATTTTTATTCCTTGGCCTGAGCTTTTGCCCACTATGTTCCTCTGGCACAAAATAAATATTTTAGGGAGTAGATGAAGTAATGAAAAGGGTTTGACCAGAGGTGACTCTTTTGTCTCCAAGGCTCTTTTTCCTCTCGACTGCTCCTTAATGTAACATTTCCCTGATGCTGTCTTCACCACCCAGCCCCTCAACTCACACTGACCAAAATTCCTGTCCTCTCAAAGAAAAAGATACGATCAAGTAGTCCCTTAGTTTTCCCTCTCCCACTCAGGGAAGGAGGCTCTGTCATTTGTTCCCTGAGACTTTTGTTGTACAGTCTAACCAAATCCAGATGGTGTTCCCAAGTTCAGTCACCATACTTAGTGAAGTATTTGTAGTTATCTACTGAAACAAATTCTGGACTACATTGCAAACACCAGCTTCCCAAATAACTTATTCCATGCTCTCCTGTCTTGTTTGTGTTATGGCCTTTCTGTGCTAATGAATTTGTAAATGTGGTTTAATTACTGTTTACCGAAAAATAGCTGCGTACAGATCAGTCTCAGTGGGAGACTTAGCCAAAATGTTGAGGCAATTTATTTCTAGTGCAAAAACAGCTAATAAATGAGAAGTACTTTTTAAACATTGGAAAAGGAACTTAAGTTTGGTTTTGAAGAAACACAGCTTTATATATCCGGGGAAATAAATCATTCTTTAAAATAGTAGATTTAAATATCAAAATGGCTTTTTCTCCCCAAGGCCAGGCACACAGAGATTTGCACATAACCAAACTGTAATAACAATGATTTGATTGAACACCACAACAAAGAGCTATATTCGGAAGAACTCCTCAAAAGGAAAACCTGAAATTACTTGTAAATTCCATAAAATGTTTCAGAGCTCTGTAAACCCATGTATTATGTATTACCTCATGTTTCTGAATTCTAGCCTCAGGCAAATTGCCAACTTAGCAACTAAATGACAGTTTTAAAATTTTAATACAAACCAGCCTCTCTAACTCTGCTTTTTAATCTCCAGGAAAAAAATAAAGACACGAGAGAAGCAAAAATTATTGGAATATCCAATTTCTAAATTCTGTTTGTGCTACATTTGGAGTTGTAGTTTAATTTTGCTCTTGCATAAAATGGTTTTTGCTTAATTCTGCATAAAAAGAGACCTCCGAAAGTAAGTTCTTCCTGCAGCTGTTGGTCTTGCTAATAGGTCAGGCTCCATCCTCGCTACTTTCCAGGGGATGCCTATATGTGAAGGGGAGCAGAACCTGGTTCTGCCTTCAAAGCCGAATTCCAAAAACAAAACCAACCAACCTGGCAACAAATAGGGATTGCAAATCATTTGTTAAACTATGTATAGTACAAAAGATGTTTGAACATTGTGAGATACAAATGCTGAATTCATTTCTAGTGAGGGCACCAGAACGGCAGTTCAACAGAAGAGATGGTAGGATTAAGTCTTACTGACCATAAAGCTTTCGCAATGTCAAACAGTATTTTGAAAACCAAGTCCTGTCCTTCTTGGAAAAAGCCTCTTTTCCAGGAAGACTATTCCATATTTCCATTCTCCATAATTACTTTTCAGTTTTTTCCCCAGTCATTCCTAGTTGATTAGTTCACCAGATGCCATTTGTGGAGGGCCTTGGAGAGGGAAAGCAACCCCAACTCAACCTCATGGGCTGACCTTGTAGGGCTGACCTTGTATCAAGAGGAGACAGACACAAACACACACCACAACTAGTAAAATCACAATGAAAATTGATAATCCTGATTAAAAATGGAGATATGTTGTCTTTCAGAATAGTCTGTGATTTTCCAAGCTTTATTTTGAGAATTTTTTCAATAGAGGCAAAATGTCAGTGTAGAGTCCCTTTATGAAAAGGGGGTTTATCTTGACCATGCTTAAATCATAAGACTTGTAACAGATATCACCTCCTTCAAGAGAACTTCCCTGATAGCACCCATGCCCTCTTGGCTTGGCTTTCCTTTCTAGGTCTTCTCATTGCCTTCACTGTCTATTCCTCTGTTTTCATGTGTGGAAGACCCGTCATATTGGCCCCTCACTGCAAACACCATAGCAGTGTATACATGGCTGAGCACACTTAGGGAGGAAAGGCCACGTCTTATTCTTCACACACACAGAACCAGAAGCACCTAGTAAATGGTGCTCAATTATCACTGAATGGCTGGAAGATAATTGCAGATATTCCTCCATCTAACAAAAGCTGTGTTTCTTCAAAACTATACTCTAGTAAGATCAAAAACAGTTTAAAAAAGTGTGCATTCTTGTTTTTAAAAACCGTAAATGTATTGGTCCAGCTGAGGTAGCAGGTGCTGGTTGACACTGGCACCCAGTAGGCTAAAGCCACATGGGAGGCCCAAAGTCTATTCTTCATGCACTGCAAAAAGTTGGGTGTGGTGACACATGTTGGAACTCCCAGCCACTCCAGAACCTGAAGCAGAATGATCGCAACGTATTTATTGGGCTAGTTCCATGTCTTGGTGGTTAAGGAAGCCAGGTCCCACATGGCCAATGGTGACTTGAATCCCAACTATAATAGCTTGAAAAACAGACTTGGCATTTATTTGCATGTGAATGCCCAAAATCTGATGAAGAAATGAGATGATGATGTGACTGCTCCTCACACCCACACACACATTTATATACCTGTGTTATATATGTATAAATGTATAATTTATACATAGTGTATATAAATATGTGTATAGAGATATAAAATAGAAAATAATATATGCTAAAATGTAATAAATACTACATTATAGTATATATTATGGCATATATATATATATATATATATATATATCATATTTAAATATAAGGGGTCTTCAAAAAGCTTATGGAGAATGTGTATTATGAAAAACCTATGCATGGATTTCAATTTTTTTGGCACAAAAGTAAGCTATTTCTTCCATTTTTCCATAAACTTTTTGAATCCCCTTATAAGTATGTACAACAAAAATCTAAAAGAACACACACCAAAAAACTAGCAAGGGTTAGGATTTGTAATAATACTTTTTTGTTTGTGTAAGACTGTGTTGTTTTGTTATTTTGCTATGGGTATGCACTACTGTTCCCATAAGAAAGTACGAAGTTTTTGTTTCTGTTTTTAATAAAACAAAGCTTGGCCTATTTTATAAACCAGTCATAAAACTTAAAATTTTGTGATGCATTATCTTTACTATTTAAATCCAATGTTGTTGGTGATTTATTCTATACATTTAGATAACCAAACTAACTTGATAGCATCTAGAGGTATCAGATAAGTTTATTTTCATTTTCCTTTCTTTTGTCTGTGTTGATAATATTCAGAAGGTACCCAAGCAGCATTTAACTTGGAAATATTCTAGAAATAAAAAATACTAAATTCTCCCTATTGGTCTCTGTTTCCCTTCCTCTTTAATTTTTCCGTTTGGATTAAGTATTAAAATCCAATCCTTCTTAAATCCAGTCTCAACCTCTTGCAAATTGATAAGCCAAACTAAGTAACCAATTAATTCCCTCTCATCCCCCCCCCCCAACCCACTCCAAATCTTTTGCTTTCAGGTTGGTTCCCTACAAAAGAACTATCAGAACTATCAGCTTTCTGGTCACTATTATTTCTGTTCTGCATTGCATCTTCTGCTAGCATGTCATTCTATCATTTTGACTGGCTGGCTGCTATGTTGCAAATCCTAGACAATGTTATTGAGCTAGTATAATGTTTAATTTTTCTTTTTCCTAAAGGAACAGTCACAAATTATAAAATGTGTCCCTAAAGAACAGCTTTAAAAATCATGTTTTCTTTTCTATCTGCAGCTGAATTCTTGCTGCCAGGATGGGGAAACAGAACAGCAAGCTGCGCCCAGAGGTCATGCAGGACTTGCTGGAAAGTACAGACTTTACAGAGCATGAGATCCAGGAGTGGTATAAAGGCTTCTTGAGAGACTGCCCCAGTGGACATTTGTCAATGGAAGAATTTAAGAAAATATATGGGAACTTTTTCCCTTATGGGGATGCTTCCAAATTCGCAGAGCATGTCTTCCGCACCTTTGATGCAAACGGAGATGGGACAATAGACTTTAGAGAATTCATCATAGCCCTGAGTGTAACATCCAGGGGGAAGCTGGAGCAGAAGCTGAAATGGGCCTTCAGCATGTATGACCTGGACGGGAATGGCTACATCAGCAAGGCAGAGATGCTGGAGATCGTGCAGGTACGTAGCCCTAGCCCTTTAAAAAGGGAAGAATGTGTGTCACAAGTAAGATTAGAAGGTATGCAGTAGGGCGCAGGGCAGAGATTGCAAACCGGTGGTCACCAGGGCATTTTACTTGGTTTGACTAATGGTTTTGAAAAGTTTGGACCTGCATTACAGTTCAGGAAGATCGCACATGAAAATCCACATTGGTTGGCATTTCTTAAAAATTCAGGAGCTCTGGCAACTCTGGGCCTACGTCACTGCTCATTATAAGTCACCTGATGCTTTGTGCTGACCCCCACCCTACAGAAGGACGTGTGCTCTTCAACTGACCTTGCTCATTATGGCCACTCCAGCCTATGGGGATAACCCACCTATACCTAGAGTCCTTGGGTTAGAGCCCCTGGAGTGGTGTTTAATGATCAAGCTCTAATCTGGGTTCAAATCTTGTGTCTTTCAGTCACTACCGCTGTGACTTTTACCAAGTAAGTTAGTTCACCTAAATGAGTCTCAATGTTCTCATCTACAAAGCATAACTACTAGCAGTACGCACCCACGTTGTGGGATTATTTTAGGATTAGATATGACCCGCCATGTTAAATGTTTACACAGTGTCAGTCATACAGAAAACCTTACAATCATCGCCATCATTAATTTACAACTTTATCATATTCTTGAATAAGAGCAGGGATCTGGACTCTCTGTTTCATCGCACTAGAGATACAAACACTTTAGAATCAAGGTCTCCATCATTTTAATCAGAGGTGCTCTGTTTTATTCCCATGAAATACTCACCCCAAACAGAACAGAAGAATGGGCCCTCGTGTTGACTACATATTCCTTGATGGACCCAGCAAACTTTAGGAAGGTTGGAAAGCAGGGTAAGGAGCTATGGTTGTGACGACACTTTGCTCAGCAGTGGGTGGAACCCAGAGACAAACATATTGCTGCAGGCAATTAGGAGTAGTGGGTGGGCAGCAAGGGGGAGGACTGGCAGTTGCTCACTGTCTTAGCAAGCAAGAGGGAAGCATCTGGCAGCAGACGGCAGGTTTCAGAGAATAGGCATTTGGATATCTGGAGGGCTTAGCTCAGAGGCCAACACTCATCCCAGGACATCTGGTAGTGGTCCTACAGAGATCCTGCAGCCACTGGAAGAACTGGTGAGGCACTGGACAGATTGGGAGACATGACACAAGGAGATTAACAAATAAACAAACAAACTCAACTACCGATGACAGGGAGGATGGGGCCATGGTGGCACTTGCTTACAAAGAGCAGCAGTGCACCTGGTTGGGGAAACTTGGGATAGGGCCCCAACAGACCTGGAAGACTGACCTCTCATTGAGCCTCGAAGCTGAGCCCTGGTGCCTGCCCCTAGGCCAGTGGGATTGAACCCCATGGGCAATTCAAGTGACAACTGCAAACATTGGGGAGAATGTGGAAGCAGGGATCCAAAATGATCCTTCATTGAGGAACTCTCTAAGATCTGCCAACTTTTCTGCCGCCAGTAACATTTTTAACCCAGAGCAGTAACTTTCTTTGTAACTTTGTTAAATTATTCCCTTAGAGCTATGGATGTTAAGCAAACTAAAGGACATTTCCTCATCCTAGAGGATAAATGTATAAAAAATATAACAGCATGTATATATATATATATATA